GTACGTGTTTTGTGGCTAAACAAAGGCTACTAATTTCTTGAAGTGCAAAAAACAAAACAGTACCTTTGTCTTCTGACATTTAAATTCCAGTTGGTTACAAGACTATGAATAAAAGTGGATTTCTTATACACAGTGCTAAAAACCCCTGATTTTTTACACTTGCACATGTAACACAACTGTAGGAGTACACAACTGAATGAGAAGTACTAGGTGATATTAATTAAGATCCACACTGTTTTATGCAACTCTTATTCTTCAGAAAGTAGACTTTGTTTTTATTTTAGGAATAGTTTAGAAATACTCATAAGTACTACTGGTGGGAATATATGTAGAATAAGCAACAATTTTTGTCCAGGAAGATGAAGACTTCACCACATAAAGAAAATACGTTTAAGGAATGCAATATTTCCAGCTGTAATATTGAGAAGAGCCAGTCAACAGTATTTGTGATATTGTTGTTCCAACAAAGCTACGTTGGCTTATTTATGAGCTGCAGCAAAACCGAGTGCTTGGTGACGACAAACGGCAGAAACAGCCAAGTTAAATAATACATCTATGTGATACTGTTCTCAAAAATGCAACAGCAACAGTTTGCTACAAGTGATATACTGCTGGCAAGAAAGCTGGTCAAATATGGTAATAATGCATTAGAAAAAAGAGTGGTTTATGTCAACTAATAATTTCAGGTCACCAGAAAACTCATTATCATATCTTCCATCTGAATGCAAAGTAAAAAACAATCTCTTTCACAGTACTGCAGAAATTCTGTCTTTGCCACCTATATTCCTTAAATTGGCATACCATGGCCTGCTGTAGCACAAAACAAAGCATGACTTCATAATTTCTTGAAAGTATCAGTTTTGAATAAATCTGGACAACTGTAAGCCAAATACTGAAAGGCATCAGACAATGATGGCATGTTTTTAACTGCAGAACTTCCGCTCTTTGCAATCCCACTTCATTTGGTAAAATTTGGTAACCAGTTAGAACAATTCTTTTGGTCCCATCTTTATTTTCCCTGTGTTTTTATGAATCTTTTGTTCACATTAGTCTGCTTCAGATTCAAAACATGGCGGAAGCTGCCTCCTTCAAAATCTATCCTACCACTTAGCTCTTAGACAGTTTCTTGCTCATGAATCCTCCTTGAGACTGAAAATGACTGCCTATCTCAACTCCTCTACTAGCTGTTCAGTGGACCCTGTCCTTCATATCAACAGATCACAGAATATATTGGTAAATATTATTTAATGCAGAAGCATTTATTGTAGACATTAAGATTTTTCAAATGAAATATCAAATCTCTGATACTATGAGACAGACAGGCAGCACTGTTCAGTCCTACCAGAGGCTATTCCATGTTGCAAATAAACTAGTTATTTTCAAATGTTTTCAGGTTGTTTTTTATTAGAGCTTTGACTTCTTTTTGCACCCTTCAGGAAATCAAGTATTATTATGTTCATCGCTAATATCAACTGTACTTAAAGCAGGTGTGGTCATGATATTATATTGGGATGAATTCATTAAAACTGTCTATAAGATTTTTTTACAGAAATAACAATGACAAGCACTAACTAGTATTAAGAATGCAGTTTCATCTAAAATAAAAAATCACGAAGGAGAGCTGGAGGGAAGGAAGTGGGATTTCAAAGTAAAGGTTCAAAGGATTTAAAGATTTAAAGGATTTCAGATTAGATCATAAAGGTCTATCTGATCTTTTCCTGTTGGAACAACTCTAAGAATCAGTTTCAGAAACATTACTTTAATAAACTAATAACATGGCTGGGTCATTGGCTGAAATTTTAAAAACAAATTTTGAATACTTTTACAGTTTTAGATACCTGCTATTCAAAGAGCAAAGGTCAGTGTCTCCTAAAAATAAAGCTTCTTTAAACTTCCCCTTCTCTCCTCTACATATTCAGAAGTGAGATAAAAAAATAAGTAGTTGCCTTAATCATATATCAATGCCTGACGTTAAGGATCAACGGGAGACTGAGAAAAAAAAATGTTTACAAAAGAACTCCAACAATATGAAAACATTTGAGAAACTGTTGATTTGTGGAATTGCCACTTTCATTTGAGAATCAGGCAAGATTTTCATGTACATAATTTACTTAAATGTATGCCAGGTACTTCAGCCTCAAGGTTCCTCTTCTGGTCATGTAAGTAAGTGCCTTGGAATGTACATTTATTTATTTTTTTAAAATTTATAATCAATTGTTTGAAAGGGAAGTTGCATGGTGCTGAAGATTCTCTAGAGAAACCAGTCTCGCTGCACTTCCCCCTGCAGCAGGCACAAGGCAGGGTCCCCTCACCCAAGCTGCCCCTGGCCCCGAGAAGCAACAGGCACCCAACCCAGTACCCATTATATCATAATGACGTGGGCTGACATACAGCGTGTGGGGTGCAAGCGACACGCTACCACCCACTCCCACTGGAGACTTCCCACCTGCCTTCGTGGTGAACCCTGGGTTCGTGTACCCACGGTGCAAGGCACCTTCGGAGTGTGCTGAATCCTGGCTTTGTGCTGCACCAGCATTGGCTCCTGATGTTTGGTACCTGCTTTTGTGCAGGAATACTGAACACAGCAAGCACATCAGGTGCCATTTGGGCTGCTTGTGCATCTTCATCCCCACAAAGCAGGCAAAAATTCAATGGTCTCACTTCTTCACTGTGCAGCAGGTACGGAAATTAAATACATTATTTACAGCTAAAATTTCCACCACTGAGAGGCTTCTTCAGTACAGATTTGGTACTCCATGCATGGTTAAATAAACTGAAACAATGGTATAACAATTAAATGTCCCCAGAGTGAATGTATCAAGAATATCTAAATTCTTCATCGTCTTACTTAATAAGCTTCAGAACTGAATGATCTACTAACTATTATAACTGATTAGTATGAAAAACTTAAACTATGTCTTCCTCATGAAACTGATTCAGATATTGGCACACAAAACAAAACAAAACTGCCATTATTCCCCTACGTGTTTTGCAGAGACTGTAATAGTGGAACTCCTTAGAAAAAGAAAAAAAGAAAAAAAAGATAGAGAATACAGCCATTACTTTATAACGTACATGCACATTCTTTTAAATTTCAAGCATTGCTCCAGGCTCTCCATCCACCTTCCTCAAATATCTTTTTCTTTAAATATTGCTACCAACACCATCTTAAGGAAAGTCTAAACTCACGCCTAAAAATGCCATGAAAAAAATGGCTGAACATTAGGTTTGAAATTTAAATGAAGAAAACACTGCATCTACTTTCAAAAAGAGAGGGAAAGTAAAATTGGTTCAAACGTTAGAAGTTTACAAAAGTGTGAAATTCAAGTGATTTTGAAGATGTACGTTTTTGGACTTTTCAATGAATGATCAAAACCTCGTAATTCAATAAAGGGACACCTAACATTGACAGTGACTGTGTTAAGATTTTAAGAGAGATGATCCAAATATTAGTCATGAACACCACTCATGACAAATCTAGCCCTTTCTTTTTGAATGAACTGTCCACAAACTATTATTCTCTCCAAACACAACCTACGTAGATGATATTCTGATTTTGTGCCTTTTATTATCCTTTTGCATGGCTGTCATTTAGGGTTGATCCAAGTCCTATAAGACTAGACAACAAACATAGTAAGCAGCATAACTGAAAACATCGAAGCTGTGAATTTTTTTACTGGTCATGGCGGTGCTGAGTTGATGGCTGGACTTGATGATCTTACAGGTCTTTTCCAACCCTGATGATTCTGTGATTCTATGATTTTAACAAAAATTCACAGAACTTTCAAAAATTATCTAATGATGAGATTTGTACAGACAAAGAGGGCTATAATAAATTACATATTTTTGTCCAGATGCAGCAAAGCTGAGTGAGTACTTTGGGAATTGTCATTTTGCCAGATGTAATCTTAAGAATGCTTTTTTTGGTTACTACTTCCATACTTACAGGGCCCACAACAAGCTATCATACACCAACATAGTACCCTATTATATTGTTTAATACACTACACTATACACGTTCATAGCAAATATCTGTATTTATGTATACATTTTTTAAAATATTTTTACATATATTTCCAATATACAAACACTTAGACCAATGCCAGCTAATATTGACTAAACAAAAGTAAATATAAAATTTATACCTTCATTGACAATATACTCTTCTTTATGGTACATTATGCTAACTAATTAAATCTGCATTTTAAAAAGAAATCATTCTAGTATTTGCACCGTACAACTTCTTTGTTCAATTATTGCAAATAAATCCTTGGGATGTAGGAAAAACATGCTTTCTATCTGCATATTTCACCTTGGAACATTTAATCGCTTTTGATGACATAAAGACGAGTATTTTTCACTAATATATCTGTGCATAAAGATAACTGTAGAATGTAAGATTTATCCGTATAAATACTTACATTTATTTGTATTTATAAAAACCTCTCTGAGAAAGGTTTAGGAAGAAGTCTGCTTCAGTTTAAAATGTTACTTTTTACAGTGTGGTGTTGCAGGATTACTATTGCATATCAAAGATAAATGGCAATATTAGAGAATTTTAAACACATGTAGCAGAAAAAAATATATTAATAGACATCTACTGAAAAAAAATACAAGGCAGAATAAGACACTTAGTGGGAAAGCTAACAATCAATGTAAACTTCAGTGTTTCCTACCAAAAAAACATAAATCAAAAAAGCCACTATCAAACTGAGTAAGACTGCATTCCAGTCATTTGGTTTTGGTATTAAACTTGAAGACAGAAGAAATCCCCTTGGAACACTAATTTGAAGGTAAACATGCCTGAAGTTATACCTACAAGTTGTACTAATCTCAGAAGATAATAAAGACCACTATTCAAATAAAGCCTGGGGCACATCGTGATGCCTAGGATTGGTGCGTGGATTTCAACTGATTGAAGACTGTCACAGTCCTATTATCATAAAACCTGTAGCGCACTTCCAGCATGGAGGACCCATCTGTGCCCACCGTCCATCTGTTTAGACATGACTGGCAAAGTGGTAGGGAACTCGCAGTGGTTGCCTCTGCCTGAAAGGAATAAACCACAGGATCTTCCAGTGAGTGCCAAAAACTTCTGAGAAGGTCTGCTGCCACGGTTTTCGGGGCCTTGATCTATAGAAGACAGCATTATTAGTGAAAGACAGCACGCCCACGGTGCACTTCAGTCAGCTAGAATAATGCAGGTTGGCTGGGGATCCATTACTGGACTTTGATGAATTGTGTCCCAGCATCATGAATACAGCTTTTCTTTCATTACAGCACACAGTGAGACTTAACTCTGGAGAACAGAAACTATCGGTGTCGTTAATCAACCAAAGGCAACTTTTGAAGCAGAGAAGAACCTCAGAATCAATGAAATGTATGCCAAGACACAGCAGAAAGTGTCTTTTGATCTGTACTTTTTAAAGAAAATATAGTTGCATTGGTTTTGGGTAGGGAAGGAACAGGAATAACGTGAGGCTACTTTGTGTACAATCAATACAAAAGATTAGTGAGCTGCTGCAAGACATAGGAAGCACAGGGCACAGTACTACTCAAAATAACCTTAACAAAGTGCTTTCAGTTCCTTTTTTCTCTCACACAGTTAAAAAACCAAAACCACAGGTACTCCTTCAGCTTTTCAGCAAATAAATGTAGAAATTTTACAGCACTTACATGTCGTCACAACAGTTTGACATTTTTTCTATACTTGTAGTGTCCTGTTGAAGAAAACAAAACACAATGAAAAAGTATTTACACTCCTAACTGGTAAAATGGAATTATGAAAGCAACTAAATAAAGCAGGGAATCAATTCCTAGCATATACTGCTTTGGCACTAGTGTGGCAGGTTTACATGCTACTCATATACAATATTAGTTTTAGACAGCTGTGAGATTATACACACAAATTTGCTCAGTCTGTTAAATGATTTTTACAAACACAATGTGAAACTATACTGCATAGTTTTACTATGCCAGCACATACCACAGAATGCCAACAAAAACTTACAGCAGTATTACAGCTAAAATTAATTAAAATATTGCAATTAATTTCTGGGACAATTAGAAGTAACGTATGAAAGGTACACTCTTCTCATCCTTTTCAAGTGCACCTAGTCCAGTCTTCGAGTATTCCATCTAGATAACCACAGGAAAAAGTAGCACAATGCAACTATTATCAGATGCAGTATTTTGAAAAGCAGGAGCTATTAAGAAGGTTTTAAATAGTTATATTCTTAAGTATTATAATGCAAACATCATCACTAGGAGTATACCACCAGTTTCCATAGTTACTACAGTAAATACCAAATATAAAAATTATTCTCTTAAAATATAACAAAAAATAAACAATGTGCAGAGTGAAGGTACACCAGCAGCTAACAGTAAATTAAATTCATACTTTACTTTTCTGAACATGATTGATTTAATGAGTTACAAAGTTTTATAACTAACAAATCAACTTAAGCTTAGATCATCCCCAAACAAAAGTTTTAAACCCAACAATAGCACTTTTTTCTCACTTTTGCACTATGTAGTTAACAAAAAAGCTTGGTTTTTGAATATCACTTCAATTCTAACTCCAGTAGTATTCGTGTTTTCAATGCACATTCATAGTTCATTATGTCCCAAAAATCAGTCATGAGGTCCAACATACAATAATTGAAATAATTTCTCATGGCAGCTTGATATTTCGCTTTACTGTTCATTGATTTAGGCATGCACATAATGCACCTGTCAGATTACACTAGTGTTCGAACGAAACTGAGAGCTAGCTGCTATAGTCCCAGTCACACAGGGACACCAGGGCTGTGACTTAATTACGCTGTAACTTCTTTGTCATGTGGAAACACCACCTAGCAATAACACCATACTGTGTTCTTTGACTGTTCCTGCCATCAGTGCATCCAATTCAGTGCGGGCACTGCAGGGATTCTGCCACCATCTTTGATAAAGCTTGGAAGGCGAAGGGTGAAATGTGAGCGAAAAATAATGTACAGGAAACTGCTTCCCTGCTTCAGCAGGCATGGGTGGTCTCAACTCCCCTTGCCTAATTTTGCCCTTCCCAGCTCTGATGAGTCTTGGAACAGGATCCCTTACCACATGATAAACGGCAAAAATTTTAAGTGTGCCCAGGACCTACCGAGCTGAATTCCAGACGCATTATGGCAAAGAAGTCCCCTCTTCTCACACCAGCCCACCAGGACGCCCAAGTTCTTCCCCGTTTCTGCAGAGAAGGCAGGCATAGCAGACTGCACAAGCTGTTCTGGCCCCATCGTTAGGTGGATTTGAACAACCACTCAACAGCAAGAGAGGACAGGAGTGGAGGCATCAGACTGTAAATACTGTCTGTTGTTTGGATTTTCAGAGATAAATTGCTTCTCCTCTCCACTGTATGGGCCCGTCTAGCGCATTCCCCCTCACCTGCCAAAGGTGTCAGGAAAGTATTACAAGACACAAGCCGCTCTCCTTCTAATGGTGGGACCTGACTGCACAGCCAAGGGATCTTCTGCTTCTTTTGGCTGGCTTTTTGTCCAGCTCTCAGCAGAACACACACCACTTTTTCTGACAACAGGAAATCACACACAGCTTTCTGAACAGAAAGGACTAAGTAAACACAGACATTTCAGTGAGATTGTAACAGAATTTTCATGAGATGCCACAGCTCCATCCATAACTGCAAAAATATACCAGCTCTAAAGATTATACGCTGGTCAATTCAAAGCTGTCTGCCTGATAGTACTAAACAATATTTGTCATTATGTTTGAAAGCAATGATCGCCACCGATTTTTCATACAACCGTAGCATACTACTGCAGACTATAATTTATTTCCAGCTACCAAAGATTTAAGCTATCATTTCACAAAAAAGCACCTTAAAACAGCTTAGGGTGCAGCAGTAACTAATAAAATAATACCTTAAATATGGCATTTTGCTATGTTTCTCCACAGCATCTATTCATTAGACATTTACGCTCTTCTCTGAAATGCTATATTTGAGATTTTTGGAGGAATTCCCAGGTTGGGAACTAGGGGATGTCTTTCTTTTTAATTATTATCATGGTATGTTATCAAGACTTGAAAGATGCTCATCAGGGTCTGCTCCTCTCAAAAATGTAACACGTTACATTAATGAACTAAGTGAAAGCACCAGAAGAGGAACTGCAGAAAATGACTGTAAGAAGACTGTAAACCTTCCACACCTTTAAAACACACCAAGGATCCTATATGTGTAGGAAGCTAAAGGAAATACTTCCTCCCTCCCTTCTTTCCTTCCATCCCTTTTTCATGAAAACGACATCTACTTTAGAATACTTCTGCTTTAAAGGAATTGGGACTGAACAGTGAATCCTTTGCTTCTGGGATACTCTTTCAGCATTAAAAAAACTTCACAGCCATTTTGAGAGCAATGAGCTAGGACAGGAGGGAATGAGAGGAAACACCTCTCTGAAATTTAGCTGCTTAACGAGTGCTGGTGACTGAACGTAAGAAACTCAATTCCCCTCACAGCTTCGCTTCCCCAAAACTGCGGCAAAACAGTTGGACTCATATAAAATGTACTTTTGAGAGAGAACCAATTTACCTTTTCAAATGAATGTGAAACTTCACAGCACCCCAGGAAACTCGGTAGTCCCTCTGGAGACAGGAGAGGAAGGAAAGGAAGAGGACTCCAGTTGAGTTTTGGCCTGTTACTTAAAGCTTTCTTTTCAGACAGATGTATTTTTTCTTCTTTTGGAGACAGCAGGACCAGAATAACCACTATTCATCTAAATGATGTTCATTAACACACCTCACAAATGGCTTTCAACCAGAATATCATCTCTCTTAATTATGCATTTGATGTAAACCAAGGTTTTGCTACATCAGAATTACTGTGTTCAGGCTAAGAGGCTTTGGCTGTCTGCATCTACTATCAGCTTGGATTACTATTAATACAAATAGAACTCCAAGATTTTTTTTTTTTATCCTGAGACTCACAGCTAATGCTGATATGAAAATCTTTTGGAGAACTGGCATTCATCCCAAAGTTGAAAACAACTTGATACGAGAAAACACGGCATATCTGTTCAGTCCTAGTAATTTCTGTCTCCAAAAATCCCACAAAATTTACAATTGCATAAAAGATGAAACTGACTAACCCACAACTGATTAATTTCATATGAAGGGTCATCTGGACCCCCAGTCATCATCCAGATTGGAAACAACTATTGTTCCTGCACCTGGTTATTCAGAGATACATACCCACTGATAAGCATCTTAAAACAACTAGGGGAAAAAAATCATACCACAGTGAGAAAGGCAAAAGAAGTTAGAGGAAATAAACACAGCAACCATTAACAAAGTATCACTTTAAAATAAGAGGCAAAGGACAAAGGGTTCAGACTCTGCTGAGGGGATGACAAATGTTTTTTTACTTTGAGGACTTACTAGAAGTCTGTAAGAGCAGCTTGTCTGCTCTAAGTGAAGTAAGCCACTGCCATAGCTAAGACGGTTACAACAGGAATGGAGAGACGTATGTAAGCGCACTGACAGAATTCTGCAGACCAACCTAAAAACTCATCTGCAAATGAATGCACCCATGTTAGCTACTATGAGGATACATCTTTCACCTTTATATTTTTAATTAGCATAACCAACTGCCTGAAAAAAACATTTTTTTTTTAAAAAGATCACATGCACTATTTAACAAACTGTGCCACAAGATGGGATTCTTCATAAATTAATTTATCACTGAAGAAGAATATGGAATGAATATCTTCCTTTTCTTGATACATGTTTTCCATAGGAGAAGCTGTAATTTGTAACTGAAAGGACTAACTCCAAAGCACGAGCCACAATCTCTGGTTCAATTTCTCTTCTGTGTCTGCTTAAAGTGATGTGTAATTAATACAGCTCTGCTTAAATTTTGCAACAGAAGATGGTAAGCATTATGCTATGCTTTCTTAACAGAGTATTTTCAAATACTCCGTATATAAGAATCAGCAGGAGATAAAGCAAAAAGAGAAAAAACAAACAGAACTTGCAAGCCTTCCTGCATTTGCAGCCATTGCTTTCATCTAAAAGTTGAAGATAACATATCCTCTATTTGAAAAACACATTTTCCCATTTCTTCTACCTATCTTCCTTTTATTATGTGTATGTAAATCACAGGTAAGAAACTGAAAAATGTAAAATTCGTAGAAAGAATACTTCGTATTTCAGAAACTTTCTTGTTGGCATTAATTACATTTTCTGTTTACATTTGGCTACTTTTTAGCATTGTTTCCTTAATCTAGCCTTCTCACATAAGATAATATGATTAATTTTGTCAACTGCAATTAGGCTCAGGCTGAAAATTAACAGTTCTGTTTTTACTTTAAAAACCTAAAGTAAAAAATTGTGTACAAAATGAAAAATTAAGCTATACTATGTTATATCTAGGGGATACTCCTACACTCCTCTAAGCTCTGATGAACATAGCTAAATAGATTTCCAATGTATTTGTCTATTAGAAAATAATTCAATAAAAAGAAAACCTCTGACAACAGATTAGGAATATACCTACAAAGAAGATGATACAAATTATCCAGTCTGTTTCAAACCTATAGTGTGTCAGGTGCAGATAGCTGGATGATGGCAAGACATGTGACAAAACATACTAATTTTCTTGATGCTCACAAATACCTTCTCAAGGCAAAAATATTAAGAAAAAAACGCTAGCTGCTGACCTTCCCACACAGAA